CTAAGTCCCATCGCCGAATGGGACATAGTCTCTGCAGCTGAAATAAGGCTGAAAAAAACGGCTGAAAAAAAGACTAAGTCCCATCGCCGAATGGGACTTAGTCTCTGCAGCTGAAATAAGGCTGAAAAAAGCGGCTGAAAAAAAGACTAAGTCCCATCGCCGAATGGGACTTAGTCTCTGCAGCTGAAATAATTTCCCATTTACTGAACCAAGTGGGAAATAGCAAGGCAGGCACAAAGGGTTTGCACCAGGTCTGGGGACACAGGGGACACCGTCTTAAAGGGGCCGTGTCCCAACAAGTCTGGGGACACGGCCTTAAAGGGGCAGTGTCCCAATCTTCCTGATGTCCCAAAAAAGGTGTTTAAGGGCCAGCACCAGTCACATAAAGAGTCCATAAGCCCCAATATGCCCACCGGCAGTCTTAAAGGGCCATACACACCAAATAAAAGTGCATACATTTTCACAATCTCCCAGGGGCCATAGTCATGCGGGAGGAGGCTGGCAAAGAGGCTTCTCCACAACCCAGGGAAACAGGGCAATTTGCCATTTGAAGGGCCCGTTACAAATAGCAGTTTGTAACAAGGTGTCAATCCATATCTGCCAAGTGACCCGATGTAGGGGGAACAGTCCCTATTCTGCTCTGTGTCAGTGTGTATCAGGGATCCTTAGGACAGGTGTCAATCCATATCTGCCAAGTGACCCTATGTAGGGGGACCAGTCTCTATTCTGCTCTGTGTCCGTGTGCATCAGGGGCTCTGAGGACAGGTGTCAATCCATATGTCAAGGTGTCAATATGTCATATGTCAGGTGTCAATCCATATTCATTGTGATTTAGGAATGTTAGGTGATTTCTGCCCTTTATGGATTAAAACCAGACTCTGTATCAACTGTGTAATTTTCCATGGGAGTTTTGCCATGGATCCCCCTCCGGCATGCCACAGTCCAGGTGTTAGTCCCCTTGAAACAACTTTTCCATCCCTATTGTGGCCAGAAAGAGTCCCTGTGTGTTTTAAAATTCGCCTCCCCATTGAAGTCAATGGCGTTTCGGGCGGTTCGCCGGTTCGCGAACATTTGCGGAAGTTCGCGTTCGCCGTTCGCGAACCGAAAATTTCGGGTTCGCGACATCACTACCGATCAGTGATGTCCATGCCTGATATTGAATTTCAGAACGCTGAAGGGAAATCTGTGAAATGATCCGGCGTTTGAGCACAGACACTGAGTTTTAACCGTTTGTGAATGGTTTAACCACTAATGGTAAGGAAGCGCAAGGGACTTCATGATACCATAACAACTTCATTTCAATTAAGTTTTAATACTAACAGTAGTGTTTGTTTAAAGGCGTTTTCAATAGCTATTTTCATGGTTTGCACAGTCAACAGTTTTTGTGACAGTTTTATTTGCAATAAAACATTTGAATATTTTTTTGTATAAAAACAGCAAAAACATTATTGATAGATGATTTTCAGAAAAAACTGTTTTGTCAGCACAAAATGTTTTGATAAGAGTAAAATAGCAAGCAGATATGAGGGTTTTATTTATTTTTGGATGCATTTATTGAATATAATACATTTGTCTGACATATACCTGAACAAAATATGTAATCATTAATTCTTGGTAACAACTGGCTCAGTACTAAGTACCATATAAAATATAATTCAAATACTGAATTTACTAAGGCATAATTGGGTGGTCTAGTTTTGGAAACTTAATGCTGGTTAAAAATTATTTAATGTTATTCATTAAAGTTGGTGTTGAGAATTCTCAGTGAATGCAAGGTGAGTTTCAGACTGTAGGCTGAATCGTAACTCTATAATTTTGTCGTGAATTGTCATTGTTGGCTTTAAACTAACCGCAACTAATTATATAGAGAATAGATATTTGGGCTATTGGTAAAATTAGTGTAACTTCACCCATGCTTTATATAAATGAACTAAGAGAAGAAAGCCGTGATGAATAATATATGAATTATTAATACTTTGTATAAGGTATTGAATGTTTGGAGTGATTTATCTGTATTACCTACTGTAAGAAATAAATCACGTGAGGTTTTGACAAATAGTATAAACATTACATATCTATTTTTACTATCAACAAAAATGATTGCTCCTTCCACCCTTCTTTTCTTCAGACTTTTATATAAATATATATATATTTAATTTTATTTCATTTGTATTTATTTTTTTCTACTTTTTTATTTTTATTTTCCTTAATTGGACTATGTCCATTACTTGTTTGTTTTAAAAAATTATATTGTTATATTTTATAAATATTTATCAAGAAAAAATGTTTGAAAAGACAAATAAAAAAAAAGAATACAATTCAGAGTTATGAGTAAGATTTCTGTCTGCTATCACTAGATCACATATTATACAGGCTGTAAGTTTGTCTGTAGCACTGTGTCACTTGAAGCACAGAGATACACTGCAGTCTGCTCAGGTCTGATGTTCTGCATAAGGAGAACGCTGGACTTTCTGTCTTCAGCAAATACCAGTTTATATTCAGCATTTGCAGTTAGCTTGAATCCACTAATTAGGAATCTGAGTCCCTGACCAGGGACCATTTTGTACCAGTGAATATAGTCACCAGTAGTAAGAGAGGGGTGTTCACAGGTGAGGTTAACATCTTTTCCTGCTAAAACATCCTCATTGGGTGTCTGGATAATATTTGAACTGCAAGATGAACCTAAAACATAAAGACACATTTTCTTAGAAATCACATGAATAAAACAAAGTACATTAATACATAAATGTAATGCAGATGTCAACAGTTACTTTTAAATGCCTGGAAAGATATTCACCACAAATATTGTAATAAAATAATAACACACAGCTGTGTTCTATAGCCGGTGGTACTTACAGAGAATTAATATTATTACAGCTCCTAAAGAGATCATGTTTGGTGACATGTCTAAGGCTCAATGGGTCTGGCTTAAGTATGCAGTGTTTTTGTTTGTCATG